GAAAGTGTGATTGTGAGAAGAATAAATCTCTTCAGGCAGATTCCCAGATGACCAGCTGGGGGTATAGAGTCCCTATTCTCCCCACTGAACGCAGGGAGTATGTAATCAGTCACGTTTGTTAGTCTGTTTAGCGTCCAAAGCTTTCCAAGATATCCTTTTCAAATTTTGTGTGATGGTAGATAATATGCATATCCAAAAATAAAGATTGTAAGTGTCATGATCTTGGGTCTGGTGAATATTCTCTATTTTGTGGTTCTTGTGGCGTAGTCTTTTGTATTTGTAGCTCCCTAAGTTAGCTTTTGTATTTTGTGATTTCTAGGCTTTAGATTTTGTTACTGTGCCTCCCTGAATTCCTTGTGTTATGCCTGGTCGCCCTAGTTTCCATGTTCGTGAATTTCTTGTTTTACTTTGACAGTCCTGCGTTCGTCTATTCTGTTTCACTTTCTCCCTGTCTCATGTGTGTGATTAGTCCCAGCTGTGTTCCCTGTTCCTGTTTCCCTTGTTACCCTCTTGTGTATTTTGCCCTCTGTCTTCCTTTATCTGTTGTTGGTTTGTCTGATTGTGTCCCTCCATGTTTCCAGGTTCCAAGTATCATACAGTGTTTTGTAGTTAGTTTTTCCAGTAAAGAAAAAAAACTTGCAAAATTGTGAACCGCGTTATAGCGAGGGACCACTGTATTGCTATTTTATTGCTTATTATATTCCTCGCACTGTTTGCAATTTCCACATGCTCTTATATGAGTGATAGAGTACAGTACTACTTTTCAAGGCTGACTGTACTCTGGGAAAGAGTCGCTAGGGGGCAGTACCACCACATATACAGAGTCGGCTTGCTAATCTAAACAGGCGTTCCTGTTTAGGTGATTTGTGATCCTGTTTAGTTAAACATAACATAACACCGAAGAGGAAAAGCAGTTGAAGCGTACATGCGCGTGGGTCCTCTTGTTCACAGACTTTAGGGCGAGTTAATTGGTTACCTAGCAACGGCGCTGAGTTTCTCTAAAGAGTTTATGATAACTATGAACCTTTACAGATAGTTTAACACATGTAAGTAAGTGTTAAACCAGGGTTAACACAGGTACGTTCAAAATACTACAGCTGTCTGTGTCTTCTGATACAGCATCATCGCTGTCAATTCACATATCAATTTATGTTGAACACCACCTGAACAATGACTCAGCAGGCCAAAACTGAGGGAAACTGAAGTGCCTTTAAAAACAATCCCTCCAACAGTATTGTACACAGCTCTTTCATATTATTCATGATATGCAAGCTTTGATATATAAGTGCTTGAAAAATTATTTGAAAGGACATTAAGGTTTGTATGCAGAGAAGGTGAAAGGCGGTCCACTCCCCTCCCTGGACTTAATTGCCAGCTCAAGTATACAGGACCACCTCCATCCTAACCACCACCTCTTCAACATCCCGCCCTCTGGAAAAAGGTTCAGATCCATCAGGTGCAAAAACAACAGACTAAAGAACACCTTCTTCCCGATGGCTGTCAGAACTCTTAATGCAAACTAAGGGTGAGTAAAGACTTGTCCAACGCATCCACTCTGACACTGCTATTGATCATCCATGTGCAATATCTCAATCTTTCCATGTTCTGTGCAATATTTTTTGGGCTCATGTGCAGTATCTTTGGTATGTGCAATATTTTCCGGTCTTGTGCAGTACTTTGGTCTCAGTAGAATTACCATCTCCACCCTTATTTATTTATTATATTTCATAATTGTCCTTGTATGCAGATCCACAATGTTTCTTTTTCAATGTTTCTTCCTTGTCTTTATGTCAGTGGCTTCTATCT